GTGAGGAGGAGGAGGCTGAGGGGAGCCCTCATCCCTCTCTGCAGCTCCTGACAGGACATTGCAGAGAGGCTGGGGCTGGGCTCTGCTCCCAGGGGATCAGGGACAGGACAAGAGGGAACGGCTGGAAACTGCCCCAGGGGAGGGTCAGGCTGGGCAGGAGGAGAAAATGTTTCCCAGCAAGAGTGGTCCGAGAGTGGAACAGGCTGCCTGGGGAGGGGGGAGTCCCCATCCCTGGGGGGGTTTCAGGGCCGTTGGGATGAGCTGTGGGGGATGTGGGGTAGGGGAGAGCTTTGTGGAGTCGGGCTGAGGGTTGGACTCGCTGATCCCGAGGGGCTTTTCCAACCTGAAGGATTCTGGGATTCCGAAAACCTTGCCAAAAGAGGCTGGAAGAACATGTGTGACCCGAGAGCTCTGCTGAGCTCGTTTGGAGGGGTTGTATCTGGGTGATGGGTGCCTGCTGTGAAAGGAGACTGGTCTGCAGCCACAGGGTTGGGCAGAGGAGTGTCCCAGGCAGAGGAGCATCCCACAGCAGGCATCTCTGCTCGTGCTTGAGATGAGTGGACCCAGGCGTGCTCCTGGAGACACAGAAGGAGGTGCTTCTGTTTGCAGAAGCTTGAGCTACACAGAGCTTGTGTTTGTCTGCTCTAGGACGGGGTTTTTCAAGCTGACAGAGCATGGCCTGGAGGAGATCTCTTCCTGCCGGCAGAAAGGATTCCACCCGCACTCCAAAGACCCCCCTCTCTTCACTGTAAGTCCCCCCACGAGGCAGCGCGGGCTGTAGGACCACGTGAGCACTTGGCTTGAGTTTCTCTCTGTGTCTGGGTACCAGGTTGTGACTGTGTTATGGGTTGCCCCAGCACTGAGGGGTCTGGGGGAGTTGGGAACGGTCAGGGGGAGGGTCATGGTCGGGCTGGAGGAGCTGCAGGGGCTTTCCCAACCCCGAGGATTCTGGGGTTCTGTGACCCAGAACAGGAGAGCCAGCCTGGCAGGGGCTTGTCTCTTCCTAGAGTTGAGGTGCAAGAGCAGTTTCTAGGTTGTTAGCGTGTGTTGGAGGTGTGATACAGAGACTCCTCTGCAGAAACAGGTCAAGGCAGAGGCTTGTATTTGGGAGAGACACATTTATAGTTGTGTCATGCCACACTCTGTGTGGCGCTGGCCGGGGCACTAGTTCCTGCCCCGAGAGGGCTGACCTGCGAAGGGTGCTGGGTGCAGGTTGTGTCAGAAGGTAGAGGAGACTCACCTGAGCTGTGGGAACATCTGAATAACCCCCTGTCCCCTCTTTCTCTTCCCCTCTCTTCCAGACCTGCAATCATGTGTCGGTAGTCGAGAGAGACGTGGTCCTGATGGATCTCCGATAGGCCTCTTGCCTTACCCACTTACAGAAAACCATCTACCTTCTAGGCCTAGGGAATTTATTTTTTTCCCCCTGTAGCAGATGATTTTCACCGTGTAGTGATCCTTCCCCTTCCTCTCCCAGTAATCACGGTGAAATCGGTTACTCTGACCTCAGCCGGAGCACGTGAAACCTCAGTGCCTGGCACGAGGCTGGCGAAGTGGTGCTGAGGTTCGGGGTGTGGGGAAAAGCTAACTGGAAGTTCAAAGACAGAAGCTAACACTGAAACAATTGTTTAATACTCTAATCTATGGCTTGAACAGCTCCTTGGGGAAGTTCCCTGTGATTTGCTGCAACCATGAGGTGTGGAAACCTCTTCAAGTGCTTTCCAAAGTGGGACTGGCCCAAATTAACCCGTGCTTTGTTTTGCCTCTCTCTCTGGGTTGCTGTGGTCTCAGTGCAGCTGGCTGGAGTAGATAAGTCTTTGCTGTAGTTTAAGCTTCAACCTTCCTCACCCCTCTCACCCCCTGCAAGATCTGATTGCTGCTGAGCCGGAGCGAGTCCTGCGTCTGGTACTCGGGTCTCTGCCTGCTGAGGTATGGAGGGGCCCAGCCTCCTCTGGGAACCCCTGGCTCGGTGTTTCCGGGCAGGAGGTGCCTGCGTGCGGCACTGCTTTGCACAAGCTGCTCCATTCCAGCAGGGATGAGGGGTCTCTGGTTGCTTTATTCCTTTCCCTGGATGGGGGATTTGCTCTGGCCCTCGGGCTGCCCGGCGAGGGCTTGTGCTCGCCTCGTTGCTGTGGAGGAGGCTCTCGGTCTCTTGGCTGCAGCACTGGTCTGTGAAGGCTCTGCGAGGCCATCGCCGCTCTCAGACAGGACTCCAGCAGCTTTGGCTTCTTCGATCCTCGGAGACCACCGTGCCCAACTGCCTCTGTGCTTTTCTCCAAGCAGTATGGAGCCTGTCCTTGCCAAAAGCCAAGCGCTCCGTGACGTCGCTGTTCTGCGGTCCCTCAGCCGGGGACCTCCTCCCAGTGACATCCAGTCAGATGCCAAGCAGCAATTTCCCTTCCCTGCGCTCTCCGTGCTGAGCCTCCGCCCTCGCTTCTGCCGGCGTTGAAAGGGAAGGAGCAGTGTTGAAAGGTGGAAGGCATCTGGCCTCAAAGGGCCGAGCGTGATCCACGGCATCTCCACATCCTCTGGCAGGATGCTCTGACGATCAGCACATGGCCGTGCGGGGAGGGGCAGGCGGCTGGAGTTGCCTTCCCACCTGGCGTGCATACACGCGTGTTCTCTGTCGTGTCCTTGTACTTCTACATACAGAATTCCTTGGTGTTCGGTTTTAACACAGATGGATTCTGTTATCTTGGCTGCGTTTCTTTGGCCAGTCGTTTTCTTTGAGCGAACTCGGTGGGTTGGAGGGGGCCGGCATGGCTGGGAGCAGGGAGGGGATTGATTTATTCAGGGGTTGTGTTTATTCGCAACAGCCACCTCCTTGACTCCTGCGTGACAAACTGCTGCCGCCATCGCTTTTGCGGTTGGTTTTGGAAACGGGCTACCCCCGGCAGTGGGAGGGAAGCAAGGGGCCTTCAGAGCAGCCGTGGGAACGAACTTTCAGACCTAATTTATGTAAATTATGCTCAGGGGTGGGTTTTGCAGCCTCGGTTCTAGGGGTGTCCGTCCTGCGGCTCTACACAGAGCGCAGCAGTTTGCTCTTCAGCCTGGTGGCTCCCTCGGAGCATCGTGGGGACACAGAACGTGAAAGCTTCTCGCAAAGCAGCGATCCCTGTCAATTGGTGGTGAATATCCCCCCAAATTAATTCACCTGAAGGTCTCGAGCACCTGCCACGGAGAGGAGCTGGTGCCCAATCCCTGATTTGTTTGCAAGTCGTCCCAGTGACCGATTAAACCCTCGTGGAGAATTTTTCAGATATTTCCCAGCGTGGCCCTACGCAAGGGCTGTGTTTCTCACGTCAGCGCCCGGCCCTGCTCTCTGAGCTTGGCGGCTTTTTAATCACATTTTTTCACTTAAAAGTCACTGAGTCATCAGTTTGTGCGGCGGGGTGAGCGCTGACATCCTGCTCCTACTGCCTGTGTCCCACTAACCCCCCCCTCTGTCCAGCTGCACTAGACGTGACCATTAGACCTTAGAATTGCTCAGAGCGAGGGGTTGAATTTGGTAGGAGCTAAATCCGAACAGAAGCCACGCTTTGCAGGAACGGTTTATTTTCTGCAACAGCGTGGGTTGCGTGTTTTGGGGGGTTTCCTGCAGGCAGGGAGCAATGTTATCTCCGCCTTGGAGATGGGAACAGACCCAAATCCCTGCCCCAGCTCTCGTCACTCGTCTGTCCGTCCTCGGCAGGGATTTAAAGCGCGAATGTTACCCTTATAGGGAGGTGCTGAGGGCCGGCCTGGGCGCCGGCACTTTTGAAATCCCCCGACAAACCAGGGCTGACTCCCCCTCCTCGTCCGGCGTTGCTCCCAGCCCGGGCCGGGGGATGCCTGGCGTTCCTGCGAGCATCCCGGGCCGCCGAGCGCCGGCAGAGCCGGCAGCTGGGTCGGCTGCGGTGGCCAAACCTTTCCTTTTTAGGCTGCGTGCCTGCTCCCGCTCGGAGCTTTGCCGCCGCCGTCCCAGCTTCAAACTGGCCACGCCAAAAGGCTTCTTGGCCCAGCTGGCCACCGTGCCGCAGCTCGGGGCGCTCTGGGGATCCTGCGGGGACGGGGAGATGGAGCGGCCGTGCCCGTCCCTGGCGAGCACCGGGGATGGCCGCGCCACGCGCCTTGGTGCTGCAGAGCAGGGGCTGGGGTTGATACCCCGTGGTTTGCACCAGCTGGGGGTTCGGGGGGGTCTCTGTGGCTTTGGGCACGGTCCCCCCCCCCAACCCTGAGGGGCACCTGACAGGGTCCCACCACCAGCTCCATGCAGCCCCCCACCACTGTGCTCCCTCTACGTGGGGCCATCCAGGCCCCTGTCTCCATCCAGCCCCCCTTTCCCCAGCCCCTCCCCTGCTCTACTGGGTTTCAGACTAATTTTTTTTTTTTTTTTATCAGCATGTCATATATGGCAACCTTTTGCCTTGGTGACCTCATGCTTGGCAGCAGACCAAGGGAACCGGGTTGGGACACGAGGTGGAGGCAGGTCCCCGGGGTGCTGGGTGTGTAGTGGGGACACCAAGTGCACAGCCGGGGACTCGGGGCGCACATCCAGCCCCCCTGTGCTGAGGTTTCCCGGAGGAAGGGGAGTAACGGGCAGAGACAATGGCTGGGGACATCAGGTGTGAGCCACCGTGTCCCTGTCCTACCTCACAGGGTGACAGCCCAGAGCCTGCTCCCTCCCTCCAGGGCTGGGGAGAGCAACAGGACTCTTGGGTCCCTTCTGGTGGTGGTGGGACCCTGCAGCTTTTGGTCCTTACTGCTGCACCCGTGCCCTGAGCACAGCTCAGGACCCCACAAAGCAAAGCAGGGGACAGCCCAGGCCCCCGTGCCTCAGTTTTCCCATCTCCAACCCGAGTCCCCGTGGCTCTGGGTGGTGGCTTCAGGGCACCTCTCCTGCCTCCCCCAGCCTCGGGTGCTCGGGGACAGGCCCCGGTGCAGGACCGTTGCCCTTAAAAAGGCAGCCGGGACTTTGGCAGCCGCGGGTTGGCCTCTGCGCGGGCCGTGGGCCCCTGCGGCTCCTCTCGCCGCTTGCCAAGGCTGCGTCCGCAGGGCTGGGGGCGACTCCGGCCCCCCCAGGCTGGGCACAGCACCCACATTGCCCCTTGGGGTGTCTGGGCTCATCCTGCCTCCAAAACCCTCCCGAGGACAGGGTGAGAACTGGGTGCAGCCGCGACGCAGGGCTGGGCTTTGGACCCACGAGTCCTGGCCCTGCTCAAGCCGAGGATTTGGGGGACGAGGGGCACAGAAAGACCAAAAACAGGGACAGAGAGAGAAAACCGCAGGGAAAGTCATCCCAAAGGTGCCGGATTCTGGAGACACGGGGGAGCTGAGGCTGGGAGGAAGCGATGCCCCAACCCGGGGCATTTCCAGTGTCTTGGCAATGCCAAGTTCCCCTCCCGGCTCCGGGGTGTCCCCCACGGCAGAGCCCCGATACCCACCTCCCCCCGGGTGGGGTTTCTCCACGCTCACCCCAGGAACCGGAGATGCTGAGGCCGTCACTTATAAGGACTTGTGTCTCACTTGTTTATCGGAGCGGAGCATAAAAGGAACAGACTCACAAATGGGATGTTGCCTCCCAAGCATCCCCACGTATATTTTTCTTACAATAATTAACCGTGCTGGGTCCTACCACCAGTCCAAGGTCAATTTAATGAAATAAAACACCTTATATGGCCATATGGCTAACACACCATCACTTAGCCTATTTAGGGTCTTTGTTTAGAGAGGATCCGCCTCTGAGGTTTCACGGGCTCGCTGGTATTTATACCAAAGGCTCCTCGGGACTCGGTCCCAGAGGAAAGGAGCTCTCGCCTCCACGGTGAGTACTGCCCAGCCCTGGTTTCCCTTTTGCTTGGAAAAAAAAAAAAAAAAAAGCAGGAAGGAAAAACACCCCGGGGGTTTCGGGGTGCCCCTGTGCTTAGCGGGGTGGCCCAGGCTCAGTTCTCATGGCACGGGGGGGGTGACAACCCCGGCACGACCCCGCAGCTGGGGGCTTCCGTGGAGGCGACGAGAGCTGGGCTGCGGCCAAAGCTCGTCCAGAAATCCCTGCGATTTGGTGTCGGGTTTGGTTTTTTTTTTTTCTTTTTGGGCTCCTGCGAGGTTTTCGCCTGCTTCCCTCTGGATTTGGGAGCTTATCTGCTGGTGGAGGAGGGCACCCTCCGGGAAGGGCTATTTTTTTTCCCATTTTTGGGAAAGGATGAGAGGGCAGAGCGGCGAGGGGCTGCCAAGACAGGACCGGAGGAGAGGCCGTCGGCTGCCTTCCCGCTGCCCGCTCCGGGGGCACCGGCCGGGGACGGCAGCGCCGCAGCTCCCTGGGCAGTGATGCTGCGGGCCAAGCGCGGGCAGGAGGCTTTGGCACCCGTTTTGGCGAAGGATGGAGCAGCAGCATCAGTGTGGAGCCGCACCCACGGGGCACAAGCATCACCTCGCTCCCAGCATCACTGCACCAGGGCCGGACCCGGCAGCCGCCCCTCGCCTCGGCCCGCGGAGGATTTTGCCCCCCAAGGACTCCAACCATCCAAAGCCGGACGTGGGGACGCGGCGTAACCCTCTCCCCACCCATCCTTTAACGCTGGTTTCCCCCCTCGCTCCAGCTTTTCCCCCAGGTCCCCCTGAACACCAACCGCTCCCGGCCCCACCATGTGCGAGGAGGAGACCACCGCCCTGGTCTGCGACAACGGCTCCGGCCTCTGCAAAGCCGGCTTTGCCGGCGACGATGCCCCCCGCGCCGTCTTCCCCTCCATCGTGGGGCGGCCCCGGCACCAGGTGGGTACCCGGGGGAGGCGAGCGGCACCCTCCACCCTGCCGTGATCACCGAAATGAAGCTAACGAGGCCGTCTCTCTCGCTGGGGTTAGGGTGTCATGGTAGGCATGGGGCAGAAAGACAGCTACGTGGGCGACGAGGCGCAGAGCAAGAGGGGTATCCTCACACTCAAGTACCCCATTGAGCACGGCATCATCACCAACTGGGATGACATGGAGAAGGTGAGACCCCCACCCCGGGATGGGGAGTGGGTGCCGGCCCCGGCTTTGGTTTGGGGTGAGAGCCCAATTCTCCTTTACCTGCCCTAGATCTGGCACCACTCCTTCTACAACGAGCTGCGCGTGGCGCCCGAGGAGCACCCGACCCTGCTCACCGAGGCACCCCTCAACCCCAAGGCCAACCGGGAGAAGATGACCCAGGTAAGGTCCTGCGGGACCCCCGGGATGGGGATGGGCCCTCTGAAACCACCGCCAGGGCTGGAGGATTTGGGGGTTCAGCGAGCCAGGAGGGGCTGGTGCAGGTGGTGGGGTGGAGCTTGGTGCTTTACTTTTTCTTCTGATTTTTTTTTCCCACCTATTTTTCTGTGCAATGCAACAATCCGTGTGTTGTCCCACGACCCTGTCTCTCCGGGAAGGCACGGCCCCCATGGGTTGGGGGTGGGATGCCACTGGGGACCCCCCCTAACCCGCTGCCCCTCTCACCCTCCCTCCCAGATCATGTTTGAAACCTTTAACGTCCCTGCCATGTACGTCGCCATCCAAGCCGTCCTCTCCCTCTACGCCTCCGGCCGCACGACCGGTGAGTAGGTCACGCGGCACCCCGGGGACCATCCATGATGGAGAAGGGACCAAGGCGGCTTCGAGCCCCCTCACTCCCCTCCCCTCCCTTCCCAGGCATCGTCCTCGACTCCGGGGACGGCGTCACTCACAACGTGCCCATCTACGAGGGCTACGCGCTGCCCCACGCCATCATGCGTCTTGACTTGGCCGGCCGCGACCTCACCGACTACCTCATGAAGATCCTCACTGAGAGGGGCTACTCCTTCGTCACCACCGGTACGGGGGCGCGGAGGGGGGCATGGGGTGACGGGGGACCCCGTGGTGCTGCCGCAGCGCCGCGTTGAGCCCATTCGCCGTCGTCTCCCGCAGCCGAGCGGGAAATCGTGCGTGACATCAAGGAGAAGCTCTGCTACGTGGCCCTCGACTTCGAGAACGAGATGGCCACGGCTGCTTCCTCCTCCTCGCTGGAGAAGAGCTACGAGCTCCCCGACGGTCAGGTCATCACCATCGGCAACGAGCGTTTCCGCTGCCCTGAGACCCTCTTCCAACCCTCCTTCATCGGTGAGCCCACCCTGAACTGTCCTGGCAGCTCCCAGTGTGGTTGCCCCCCATCCCCACCACCCCACCAGTGCTCAGCCACCTCCCACAGGTGCCCCACAGCGCTGTTCCGGGGCTCCCCCAAGCGGCACAAACCCATGGGTGACCCCATGGCTCTTTTGGGGAGCCCTGAGGAGAAACGGGTGGGAGTCAGGGTGCTGACAGCCCCCTCCCACCCCAGGCATGGAGTCAGCCGGCATCCACGAGACAACCTACAACTCCATCATGAAGTGTGACATCGACATCCGCAAGGACCTCTACGCCAACAACGTCTTGTCCGGCGGCACCACCATGTACCCCGGCATCGCCGACCGCATGCAGAAGGAAATCACGGCGCTGGCTCCCAGCACCATGAAGATCAAAGT